CACTATCGCTACCAATATGAGTTACGATCAATCTTTGACCTTTCCCTGACGGTCCACGAAGACCTGTTGACAAACCTTCAATGCTTGCTTGTCGGTTACTCACTACGTTTTTGTCTATCCAGGTTTTTTTAACTGTGTGACCGGCATTTACCCATGTCTCGTTCAAATAATAGATTTTTCTGCTTTGTCGCCTATATTCAATCATTTCGCGTAGGTATTTTTGACGCCAGGCGACTATTTCAGGTCTTTCTATCAATACTGACTTCCGATTACGCGTTTCGTAACGAAAATTAATTTCGTGCAGGGATTTCCTCATGACCTCGACGTTCATTTGGGGTATAATTTCATTTTCCTTGATCGCTGCATGTACAGCCTTGAGGGTCGGTATCTCATTCCTAAAGAAGAATGAATGTACGGTTCGCCTTAACGCCATTTTGCTATCGTCATCCAATTTAACGGCCTTTCGTCCCTTCAAATTAATCTTTGGATCAGTAGTAGCTCTAGTTTTCTTCTTTTCATGCACCACCCTGCGAATGGTCCACTCTGGAACGCCTGTCATACTTTCACAACGCGCGACTGCATCTCCCTGCAACATAGTTCTGTTCAGATAATTGAACACGTTGAGCAAGATTTCTTTCGCGTCCCTTTTCAGTGCTTTACAAAGCCGTCTACTTGTTCCCTGGCTTTCAGTACTTCCACTCGTGCCATTTGTACTCTCCATGGTTAAGTATAACCAAAACAGTAACCACAGAAACCACAACAATAACAAACACACAACAATTCTTATAAAAAAAACAATATGCGATCGCTCAACGAAACACGTTCCAATGTACTGAAAGGAAGCCGGGATCGAGCTCTGATCACGTGTTGATCACGCGTATGAGTCATTACAGTTTTGAATAGTTGTAGTATAGATTGCCCTATTTTGCAGACTGCTTAGATCTATCACTTGCCAATCAGACCCATCTTCAAGGCTCCTTTAAATATATCGAAGCTGGGAAAGTTTGAGCACCCTAACGATATAGAAGACTATAATGTGGGACGGGAGGTTTGGGGTTACAGACGAACACTGTATACCGATTAACAACTATATTAACAGAATAAGAAACAATATCTCGTGGTTATGTGATACATAGCTCGTGTTGCTCGCGTCGTTGTCGTAGTCGTCTTGGCGTTTTTTTACTCAGCGACTTGATCAGATCATCAGATGCACATTACCGACAGAGCCTTCTTCGATGTTCTGGAACATGCGGCGTTGTCGGTACAGGCGGTGCAGCGCGCAGGCGCGGCTCTTCTACGCGGGGAGCAGCGTCGTGCGGTTGGGGTCGACTCGCGGGTTCCCACAATAATTAGTATTACGTCTTTCAGATGTCTCTGTATAAGGAGGTTTCGTATCTTTATAGTTTTCTGAAGTAGCAGATTCCTTAGCGGCATGGCTGTATAGCTTTTGGGACACGAGTAGCGCGGAAATAAAGGATTAATCAAAATATGCTACTTACCCTGAATTTTTATCTTCACAGCAACTTTGCAAGGCGGCAACACAGGTAATTCGGACCAGGAATAATGATGATAATAATTATAATTCATTGTAGCACTTATACAAAATGAATATATATACATAAAAATAAACACTCCAAGGGGCTAATGATTGACATTGCCATTTTCCACCGTCGCCTACACCAATTACAGAGAGATTCAGTAAATTAAAACTATTTTATGTAGTCACGCGATTCATCTTATCTCTAGTTTTACATAGGTAATGTAATGTATAAAATTGTAAACAAAATACAATATGGAATCGTAAGTTCTTAATCGTCAGCTTTGGAAGCTTGTAATTGGAGACGCACCTTCTTGAACTCCTTTCTGAAAGTACTACTGGAAGTAATTTGGAAAAGTTCTAAATATTTATTCAACAAACAAGGTGCTGTGTAAGTGGAACCTTTTTTTAATTTAGATGTTACATGGCCTGGGTTATTATAACAATTATCGTTTCTTATAAAAACATGTCGAACAGAGGATCTTTTCTCTAAAATATTATACAGATAATTTGGATATTTATATCTTAAAACTTTATATAATAGAGCACCATAAAAAAGCAATGATCGGTAGGTAGTTATATTTTAAAATGTCTGCTCTCACATAGTAGCCAGTGATGTGTTCTTCTCTACATATATCATTATACCAAAATCTTATGCAACGATTCTGTAAAATTTGAATTTTTTGTTCTATTTCCTCTGTAAGTAAGTTGTAATAGACTGTGATCAAGTGTAAGGATTAACGACTTTACAAGCATTAAGTAATTTAATATCACATGTCAGTATGTGTTTATATTTCCAAAGCGTTTTATATTTATATTAGCACAATTTGAGTTTATTCATAACATGACATTCAAAACTTAAATTTGTATCTAATAGTATTCCCAAACTTTTTGTTTCCTCTACAATTTGAATAGTGGTACCATCTAAAAGTATATTTTGCATTCAATGCCTTTTTGAATTTTGGAACAACTAGTCTAGACCCATTACAACCTTAGTTTTTGTGAGGTTAAGTCTCAGATAATAATTTTTTGAATACCTTACCATTTCTAAATTACTGTTAAGTTCTGATATGAGGGTATTTGCATCATCTGGTTTACATGCCTTATATATTTGTACATCAACCGCAAGCAAGTGTACAATCCAACCAGATAATGTATGGTCATTTATATATATACTTCAGTTGGCCTACTTCAAGATTTGTACCAAAATATACTAAGTGACATATAAATCCGAACACCCAGTTTAAATGGTTTTATTTTAATAAAAGTTGGTGAATGTATTTATCTTACTGTAAATAACAAGTGAAAAAATGTTCAGCCTTATCAGTTGGACATTCCGGTTTTTATACTGCTTTTTTTTAATTCACTAACGCTCTAAAAATGAATATTTCAGCCTCAGTAAAGAATCAACGTTGGCGGATTTTGGTTCTTGACATCCTTTACGATCGGTTACGATGCCTAGAGTACGGAGACCTGTACGATTTCATCAACTTAGTGAGTTTGATAGGGGCCGTATAGTGGGACTTCGGGAAGCTGGACTTTCTTTTCGGGCAATTGCAGTTAGAGTGTAAAGAAGTGTAGACACTGTGGTTAGGTGTTGTCAGGCATGGCTTCGAGAAGGCCGTACGCAAAGAGCAAGGGGCACTGGATGCCGCCGTAGAACAACCGCCTAAGATTATTGGCCTTAAGCGACCGTTTCTCCACTACTTGCAGAACACGGAAAGACATGTTCATCACACTGTTGGAGTTATGGTTTGGGGTGCTATAGCTTATGGTTCCAGGTCACCTTTAATCTTCATCAGAGGTAACATGAACGCGCAGCGTTATATCCACGAAGTTCTAGAACCCCATCTTGTACCCTATCTTGACAGCCTGGCAGATCCAACTTTCCAACAAGATAATGCCCGACCACATGTTGCAAGAGTCACAATAGACTTCTTTCAACATAATGATGTCACGTTGTTACCCGACTTATCCCCAATTGAGCACGTGTGGGATATGATGGGTAGGAGATTGCTCAATTTGCAACGTCCTCCTCAGACTCTAGAAGCACTTCGGGAGGAGTTGGTGGTTGCCTGGAATGAGATTCCACAGGAGGACATTGACCACCTGATCAGAAGCATGCCTTGGCGCGTTGGAGAATGCGTAGCACATCAGGGTGCATCCACACATTATTAAAGGTCAAAGGGCTTTAAAGCAGTGCAATCATTTTGAAAGTTTTATCATTTACTTATTATGCTTCATTAAGTACTTATACAAAATTTTATTAAAATAAAACCATTTAAACTGGGTGTTCGGATGTATATGTCACCTAGTATATATATAATGGTTTTTCAATGGAAAGCATTTTCACGGTTATTTTCACCAAGCAAAAATATGACAATGATTGTGACGGTACTTGCACTCTTCGAACCAGTCCCGGCATATAAATTGAAAGCACTAAAAAATTGATGCGACAGCTACCGTCGATCGCTTTCGTCATGTCACCAACTGTTCTATAAGTATCCCACCAATTACCTACCATGGGCGTCCAGAAGAATTTGTCAAAAGGAGACAAAGCAAAAATACGTATACATTGTGCTTCCGAAGGATATTATAATATTACTAAATAAACTTACCTCTGCTGATTTTACCAGAAAAATAACCGCAAAATACGGTAAACATGTTTCTTTATTGCGTGAACATTTTTATTCTATCATTGTGTAAGTGTGTGAGAGTGACAGTGACGAAAATTTTGATGATTTTATCTCCTACGCCACTGACGGGGAAGTATTGTAATTATATTCATATTTTGTGGCGATGGCTATACGAAATTTAGAATGACGTTATTTGCTTACATTGTTTTTCTCATTTAGCCCTTTCATTTTATACCTATATAATAGCGGTGATCATGAAAATTACAAACGCCATCTTGAGGTGGTCTCCATATTGGATTTATAATAAAGCTACCTTGCTTATTGTGTTTCCCTTATCAAGACCATTAATTTGATACCCATAGTATAAAGGAGATTGAAGAAATTATCAGTCGCATTTGGCGCTGGCTTCCATATTGGATTTAGAATTACATCGCGTTGCTTGTTATCTGTTTCTCATAAGGTTCTTTAATTTTATACGTATATAATAGGAATGACTATGATAATTATTAACGCCATCTTGCGATGGTCGCCATATTGAACTTAGAGTGAGATCCCTCTGCTTGTTGTCTTTCTCCCATTAAGCCATTTCATTTGATACTCATATCATAGAGGTTACTTTGCAAATGATGAATCGCCATTTTGTAGCATCCGCTTGTGTACAAAATTTGAGTTTAATTAGTTAAGGTAAACTGATTCAAAATACAGTTCCAAAATTTATTCCACACATACAAACAGGCCAAGTTATTATATGAAAGCTTGTAAAATAATGCCCGGTCTAACGCCTTCTTCATTCCAGCGTCCTCCGGGCCTCGCCTTCGATGCACCAGCAATCCCCCGGCAGCCGTTCCAGCTCGCCCGCAATGCAGTCCACTTCAGCAGGCATGAACGTGACCATGGGCGGTCCCACGCCCTCCTTCTCCCCATTGGCAACATCCATCGGCCCGGCAGCCCCGCCCACCAGCTGGCATCCAACCAGCTCCGCTTCCCCCTCCACCTGGCAACCGGCCTACACGCGACCCACTTACGCGAGCACCAATCCGTTCCTCACAGGGGCGTACATGAGCTACACGCCTGGCAGCGGTGGTGCAGCTACCAGTAGCGGAGGCAACGCGGGGAGTGAGGAGAAGTTCAATACCATCGGATCTACTAAGGAGGTTGGTAAAGCCACACAAAAGTTTGTGTGTTATATATGTTTTACCCGATGTAATAAAAACAAGTATAATACAAATTGAATATAAAAAATCGGATGTTTCACTGAAAAAATACAAAACTTTACGTCAAACACTACAATTTTTATATTTTTTCTTCATGGCATCACAACCCATAATTTGCGTTTTCCGAGTAATTAGGTATAGCCAAGAGATTTCAGGTACCTTACCACGTCTTCTTTAATGGTAACAGCTCAATAACAGTTCTGACATGACTTAGTCAGATGTATAGATCAAGGAAATGTAGCATGCTTAATATTACATGATTATACAAAGGCTTTTGATACTCTGGAACCATCTATTTCTGTAAAAAAGCTTATACAGTTTGGTTTTCCGGAATCTGCAATTTATTTTGTATTGACATGTCAGTGGGATGTAATTTGGCCAAGTATCCGAGGAAATAACGGTAAAACTGAAAGTACCACAGGGTTCCATTCTGGGGCCATCATTTTTCCTTATGTACATTTTTGACTTCCACGATCACTTTGAACATGATAGTGCTCATCAATATGCTGACGACACTCAATTGTACCTTGGCTTTCATATTGAAGATTTAAGAAGTGCCGCACTTAATGAATTTATCTAACGTATCTTGTGCCCATAATCTCAAAATGAACTCCTCAAAATCATCCGCAGTTATATTTGGACTGAAGGCAGGCAAGATCAGTGACCTTGACGTAATTACAAGATAAACCTCCCCATATCTGTCAACCAAATTTTTCATCTCCTGGTTATCCCTACACATACCCGTATACTGCTATTAAGAACAAGTTGCCTACAGAGTTCAATCACTACTCTAAAAAATAATTTCAAAAAGAGATTGAAGCATTTTATCTCTGATCATATCGCCCAGTAAATAGCCCATGGCTATGAATTCGGACTCGTTACAGATTTTTTCTTTCTTGTTTTTTTTAGGATTATAAAATTTGCATAAACATTTATGTTGGAGAACGATTTATAAGCTATGCTTCGCCATTTTATACTTTGTATAAATAAATCCGGGTTATTATTTTTAATATAATTTTCATGGAATGTGCTCCTTGTTCCAGGTAAAATCGTTCTTTGAGAGCTACGCGGCTACCGTTGAGGCATCGAGGTATTCAACGATGAATTCTAAAACTTCAAACACCTACAACACCGAGGCTGAAACCAACGGAAAAGTTAGCTTCCTCTCATCTGGCTTCACAATGGAAAAGTACAGTCCTAAAAACAGTTATGACACCAGCCCCAATATCACAACGGTAAGAGATTGTTAACATATATATATACAGGGTGTCCGCAAAGTTGGGGTTTTCCTTTTCAGAAACAACTACCCTTGAAATAACAAAGGTAATGTGTAGTGAAACGAGGGCGACCAAGTAAAAAAAAATAAAGGAAAAAGTACTCACTGTCCAGTTGACGAGAAGGGCTAAGTACGTCTCTGCCCGAAATCATACCGCTCCAACAGAAAATGAAATCAGCTGATGCGCTACCGAGCAGACGCCGGCGGTGGTGCATACCAGTAGACCACGAACAGAGGTAACAAATATGACCATCGTGCAGAAACCACATTGATTGTCTTACACTTAATGGCACATCTTCTAACAAGGAAGGCAAAATGTTGCGTAAAAAGTCTAGGTATTGCATCCCGTCCAATCGATTTGGGAGAATAAATGGTCCAATGAGCATACCGTTCACCATGCCAGCCCAAACATTCACCGAAAATGTTTGTTGAAAATGTGCCCGACGGACAGCGTGCGGATTTTCTACTGACCAAACATGAGTGTTGCGAAAGTTATTCACCCCATTACGCGTGAACGTAGATTCGTCTGTCACCAATATGCACTTCAAAAAGTCCGGATTATTGTCATGTTGATGCAACAACCACTCACAAAACCGCACTCTTGCTGGAAAATCGTCAGGTTGAAGAACTTGTACACGTTGGACGTGAAACGGATACAGCCCCTCTTCACGCAGCGTTTGCCACACTTTAGTTTTTGATACTTGCACTTCTCTAGCCACGTCTCTAGTGCTTGTTGTTTTTTGAAACGCAATCGATTATACGGGTTCGTTTACCTCTACACGCGTGACCGTAACCGTCGGTTGAAGGTTGCGTACTGACCTGACAAACTGACCCCGACCCCCGACCCAGTTCTGTCGTCGGGTTGAGCTAGTGTCCTAGTCGGGGATATCGCGAGTCGCGGCTACAGGACGGTATTCAGATATTTTGGATGTTGCAGAGCCCTTTATCTCGGTTCCCTTAAGACATTGGTGTATATGGTACTAAGAAAAATTGCTTATGTTTTCAAGATCTACACGTCGTGTAAAGGAAAACCCCAACTTTGCGGACACCCTGTATATATATCTACAGGGTGACTTTGAAGTTGAGTCATTAATTTTCAGATAATGATTGTAGAAGGAAGATAAACCAAAATATATGTGTCTAGGAGCACCGGCATGCCCTCCCCTGTGAGGTCTTAAGTCACCTGATTCACGAGCCCTTTGTACTACATTAACAAATGCACGAGGGGTTGGTTGCACTCGATTGGGAAACCGATCCGCATAAATCCGTGATGCCGCGTAAATCGTCTTTTTTTGAATGGAAACCCCATTTCTGAACTCGTGAACGGAAAGAGCGAAATATTTTACGTTTAAATATGGCTTGACCTTAGGAAGTGACGCTCAAGGTCAAACCCAGGTACGGTGATATAACTTACAAGCCAGTAGTCGTATAGGGAACTACCGAAACGACAGTTGATTTTTTCAAGAATATCCAATATTGACATTGGATCTGACCTTAGCCATAACTTTTAAGGTTATATGATTATCAACTCTTTTTTGATTGGACTTTTGAGTGCGGAAGTGGATAAAAGGAACATTTTATGTTCGAATATGCCCTTGAACATTTTTGTATCTTGACCTTAGACTTGACCATCGAGGTCAAACACAAGTTCACCTCAATTCCTTGATAATTCAGAAAACTGTGTAATCCCCAGATAAACTGGCTTCACTGTTCTTTCAGAATTGTTCTCTGGCTACAAAAATCTGCTAGACCTTCACATGACCTTGAAGGTCATCATGATCAAGGTCAGATCCAATGTCACCATTGGATATCCGGGGAAAAAGCATGTAAATAATATCTCGGTAGTTTCCCTATAAGTCTATTGCTTTTCAAGTTATATCGTCGAATCTGGCTTTAACCTAACAAGAACGTAAAATGTTCCACTCTTTTTATTCAGGGTGACAAGGGTTCTATATGAAAAATCGGCTTGACCTTCACAGGATCTTGAAGCTCATAGTCAATGTCAAATCCAAGCTCGCCATTGGATAGCTGGGGAAACAAGCCTCTTATTGTTTGTACCGTAAACTTCAGGATTGTTTACAAAATATAAAATATGTCCCGGACATCAGGTATGCTCCAAGCAATACACAGTGTCGGGTATATTTATTTCCAATTCACAACTTTCCTGGGATCCTTATAGATGTGTTTTTACTTTCTCGGATATTCAATAATGACACTTTAGTCTTCAAAACATGCCCTTGTCTAGCCACGTCCCTAGTGCTTGCTGAAGGACCCTCGTCTACGAGATTCAGTACTTCTTCCTCAGTTTGCACCATTCGGGGTTGTCTAGATCTCCCACTGTACGCACCTCGACATTCCTCCGAACGACCCGTATCCTTGAGTCTCTGCAGAAGGTAAACAAATCTACGGGGTCTTGGATGATGCCGTCTGGAAAACGATCTGCATACACTCGCGGAGCCTCGGTCGCATTTTGAAGACACTCACCGTAAATAAACAGCATGTCGACTAGTTCGCTATTGGTGTATGAGTGTGCCATTTTTCTTATTTTTTTTTTGACCAGCAATCCGATGTAATGGTTTGTTGTCCTACACTACCGGCGTCTAGGTTAGGTTGCATACTAAAGTATTTGGATCGTAGTCGTACGTCGTATACCTGGACGCTGGCGCTGTGAACGTGATCGTAGTGGAGAGCTACAGTATATTCAGATAAGAGATAGACCGGACATAAACAAGACCACGTGATCATCGAACGCTGTAACATTCGGCAGGGACGTATTAAGAGTCACGCAGTACATATTTTAGATAGTAGATTCTGCTTTGCGTAACTTTGTAGTAAATTAGCACAATTCGATGTGTATACGATTGGTGATGGATATAGGATCAGGTGGGGGTAGGGTAAGAAATATACAGGGTGACTTCGAAGTTGAGTCATTTATTTTAACAGTGTGTAGATCTGATCAAAAGAAATGTTTTTTTCCTTTACCATTTTTCTGGTAAAATTAAAGTAACAAAGTTATAGCCCTTTGGAAGTTTGCGTACCGCCCTGTCTCAATAATATCATGTGTTCGTGTTTGGCAACAACGGTTCATCGCATCGGAAACAAAAAAGCGAAAGAATTTGGAACGATGTTTTTACGATTACAATTCAGTTCAGTTATACATACAGTCAGTTTCAGTCGCGTGTGAATAGTGTCTGTTGCGTGGCTCAAACGAAATAAAAAATGGCACATGTTTATGCGGATCGGTTTCCCAATCGAGTGCAACCAACCCCTCGTGCCTTTGTTAATGTAGTACAACGGGCTCGTGAATCAGGTGACTTAAGACCTCACAGGGGACCTCACGATCAAATACAGGTCCGCACTGAAATACTTGTCGGGAGGATACTTTATAAAACAAG